GGGATTCAAACGTGTGTAAATATATATATATATATATATAATGTCAACTGCATATTTCATACCACAGTTTTTCACCTGGAAGCCTACCGACGCCAATATTATCACAGGAGAAAAAGGATGTTTCCAGGATCAAATCTGCAACAAAGTGAAATGGAAAGGGTAACTCTGACGAGAACTGTTTTCTGTGATTGGTAGTTCAGTGCCTACAGTTGCTGTTACTGACGTACTCCGAACCCTGGTGTGTGTGTGTTTCGCCGTTGTCCGGCTGAATATCACCTCTACCTTATGAGGACCTCATGTATGCAGTCACTTCAAGTCCCAGAGGTCACATGGTGAATTCGTGTAGCGGAGCAGCAGATCCTAGTAACTACGGTGTTCATTACATAACGATATGACAAACAGACAGCCCATCCCAACCTGGATAAAAACCAATCAAAAACCGAACAAAGGACAGGTATAAGAAGAATCAATATCTTTGAAGCAGCTTTGTACAAAAAGTTAACTCAAGAAGTCCCACCATTTCGTCACTGTTTTCCGTGGTGTTTGGTTTTCAGATTGGCCTTCTTGCCCCCAGAAAATTTCATTTTCTTGGGCTTCGGTTGAGGTGGCCGTCCACCAGGAGGACGCTTCAATGTTTTATTTATTGATCCCGTACGAGCATCTGACTTTTTAAGACCAAACGACTTTTGTCGCTTAGGCCCGTGACCGACGGTAGTTTTCGACTTGGATTTCGGTTTACGTGTGTCCACTCCTTCCCCATTCTCCTCCTCATCGTCGTCAACGTCCTCGTCGTCGAAATCATCACCGTCCTCCTCCTCCTCCACCTCATCATCGTCTTCGCTCTCGCTTAGCTCGAAATCGGTCACCTGATCAGGTGCGGATGCGTCCGCGTCTGATCCACTATCCTCATTCTCCTCTGGTTCATTCAAAGCCGCCTCCAAATCAAAATCACTTTCATCACTACTTTCTTCCACCGCGACCGGCTGCATTTGTTCCTCCTCTTTTGTCTTCGTCTTCAATCCCGCTTTGTGCTTTTGTTCAATCGCCCCGTTGGCCGCAGACTTGGTCCGGACGGTTGGCTTCGTGTCTGGGGGAGCTTCGGCAGACTTCGCCTTCGATTTGGACACATGTGTTACGGTCACACCATCATCGATGTCGTACGATGCGTCAGAGTCGTCAGACTCGTCGTCCGAATCTTCCGAAGACTCGGCTACAGTGGAAGAGGTACGTTTTGTTCGCTTCCGTTCGGATGGATGCTGTTCCGCTGTGTCATCACCGGCAAGCATCTATGGAACGAAAGGAAGGGAAAAAAGTGGAGATTAGATACAGGGACCTCGGCAGTAGATCAATTACAAAGTGGACTAATGGAAAATGCTATAAAGTGCTGTTAGTAATTTACACTGGATAATAAATATTATGATTGATTACGGTAAGAAAGAGGTGGAGACAAAAATGACAATTTGAAGTCGCAAGCAATCTTTGACCCGATCGATTCGGCAGGAAACGGAAGCAAGATCGAGTGAATATCCGTGATGGGCTTTTAACCCAGTAGTTTCAAGGATATGTAGAGTTTGGTAAACGTATCTCACTATCTCGAGTAGCCCTTGAAAATGCCCTAAAATGAATGGCGTTCATCGCTTCTGCTGAATGAGCTGCATTTACATTGTGTTCTCGTGACAAAGGTGATTCCGTTGAAACGAGAGGGTGAAATAACCAGGATAACTGATCACCAACAGCTAGCTTGTTTAAAGGAATAGGCTAACCATGACTCTAACTGGCACATGGTTAGGTATACGAACTATTCTTGGGCGTCCTAGAATAGACAGTCGCCAGCTGGACTGAGAAACAGGAGACACTGAGCATCCTGGACGTGAGAGGTCCACCGGAGAGCACACGATTCGAGAGTGAATATAAGTTGGGGCACTGCCATGGTCTAATGAACCGAATTATTTGGACGAAGTCTTCGGGTGAGATTCCTCAATTCCTCAATTTCCTACTCTGGTTCGGGTGACCGAGTAAAATCCGACAGTGTACAACACTACCGAATGAAAACATTCGTCTCCCTCCCCACAATGGTTCAAACGGGGTTGCCAACTTGTCTAGTTCATGCTGACTTGCATATGAGACCTGACTATCCCCCGCTAGAAAATGAACCACGAATTCGAATCTTCGCGGAACATAGAATGTATCGTCAACTTTTGCACAAACAGATGAGATCCCGACAACAACAATAACAAAAACGACAACAACAACAGGAATTCAAGTGGGGTTAGCGAGAAGCGCTGATTTTTATGATTTCCTGTCTCTGACGCGCACAACTTGGTTCGTCTGGCCAAGAAACGATATCAGTAGTCACGAAGTGTACCGTCTCCCGGGGGAAAAGATTGTCAAAGAACAGTTGGTATATGATTGACAGATAAACCTACTGTTCTATCAGTAATCAGCCGCCAGAGCTGCTGTTCGCCGGTATGCGCCCCCAATGCAATTGTACAGTAAATAGCGGGTCAAACCACTCGTCATTAGCATTGTCGAACAATGCGACACAAACAATCCGAATCCGCTGGTCGTAAACAAGCTTATCATCGTGTGCATACCGTAAGTATATAAGTGTATAAAATGAACCGAGTGACACACACACACACACACACACAATCCTAAACCGTTTTTTTTTATCACGGTTTTCTATCACTCAGCTCCTGGATGATGAGCAAAAGTCAAATTCACCTCGCCTGCTGGTCCCGTGGGACTCACCCAAAAACCTTTGATTTTTTTTTCTTACACACCGGTGTGTGATGGACAGCGAACGGGGTAGACTCCCATAGTCACGAAGACCTGCTGTTCAGTGATGGTAACCGGCAACCTAAGACCCGCGGAACTTGAATTGGCGAACCACATAAGACCCCCCTAGGTCAATTGTGTTATTGAACCAGGCGACAACAAAGCTGTTCGCATCGCCAGAGTTGAGCTGCGGTGGCGGGGCTCCAACCTCGGACCACAGGATCCAAAGCACGCCGATGACAGTTACTACTACCTCGGAGCCCACACACACCCAGTGGCCTTCCTTATCTGCTTCTTCAAAGAAAACAGCTCTGCTTGCAAAAAAGAAAAACGTGATAAACACTTCTGTGACTGTGATTTGCACAAACGGTTCCCAGCCCACGGCATTGTCACCGAGAGACAAGAAGAAGAGCTGAGGAGCTGGAAAGCTCCGTACACGCCAATGGGG